AAAATTATAAAATAAATATATTTCTTTTCTCACCTCCACCATCCACTTTTATACAACATTTTTTATAGCCAAAATATACATATTTTACAAAGAGGCTCCCTCGGAGTACTATAGATGTTTAGGATGCTAATACCTTCCCTTTGCATAACCAACCCCCTTACCTTGAATATTTCCCCATTCTTTTTGGGTTATTCGCTCTTTTCCCATTCCTTCGGAAACAATAAAGCGCGGTGGCGATTTTGATTTTGATTTGTATAAAGTCTAGTCAACCCAATGGTTTAGTCTTAAATATTTCTACTGCTACAAAAAAATGCCGACTTCACTGGAGAAAGATTGACCTCTTGTCGGTCCATCCCTAAGTGGGTTAAGCTTATCTTTGTTTATATCTGTATATGTGTTATTACTGTTTTTTGTGTTGTATGTTGTATATATGTTTGTCTGGATTTTCCTGGTTTTCAGGGTGCTTGGTGATTACTCATAGGTCCTATACCCGTACTTGGGCAAACTTTAAGATATGACGGTCGGTATAGTCATGTTAACTTTGAGGGAGTAATCCCAAAAAAGGAGGCATGAGATCTCCCACTCAGTGGAGGCCCCTTTGACTGTAGTGTCGTTTACCGAGTAATCGGGAAGACGTACTGCTTTCGACCTGGGAGCCTGCTGAAACTGAAGAACGTAGAATACCAAACCCATCATGGCCTTTTAGGTGTAGTGCCGAAGCTATGAAGGAGTAATCCGTAAATAGTTGTCATGCGATACTACACTAGGACGAGTCTTTATTTAGAATATTACTAATTACCGAGTTAATCGAGAAGTTGGTAATATCCAAAGGAAGGATGTAGACTCTGGGAACTTCTAGAACCTTGTTCGACAGGTGATAACTTTTAGACTGACACCTTATGGGTAGTACCTTCGACCTCATGCCCGTGACGTTGAACCTATGAACCCTATATGTGTGGTCTTGTGTGTGATTGTTGCATCATGCATCCATGCACTCACAAGCATCTTTTGAAGAAACCATATTTCAAGGGATTTAAAGGTTGACCATTTGTGAATATCTCAGGTACTTTCTAACCATGGATTCTGGAAAGAGAAAGACCGGGAAATACAGTTTCAAGGATCCCAAGATAGATGAGTTGATAAGTCTAATTCCCGAGATCGAGTGTTCTGCAGACTTTAGGAAGAAGTATGGATCCATTATTCCTCTCATGAAGCTGAAGATGTAGGAGGGTATTCTCTCGACCTTGGTCCAGTTCTATGATCCAATGTATCATTGCTTTACTTTTCCCGACTATCAGTTGATTCCCACACTGGAGGAGTATTCTTATCTATTGGACTTACCTGTTACCAATCGTGTTCCTTTTACTGGTTTGGAGGGTGAGCCAAAACCACATGAGGTTGCTACTTTGATTCATCTGGAGAAATCTGAGGTGGAAGCCCATGTGACTACTAAAGGAGGAATTATAGGATTACCAACTCAGTTCTTTTTGGAGAAAGCTCGTTACTTTGCCAGAATGAAGAGTACAATTGCTTTTGAGGCCATCTTTGCTCTACTTGCTTACGGGTTGTTTTTATTTCCTAATATGGACAAGTTTGTTGACATTAATGCTATAGGATCTTCATGATTGGAAACGCAGTTCCTACATTGTTGGGTGATGCTTATTACTCTATTCATCTTCGGAATTCTTATCATGGGAGGATGATTATCTGTTGCATTCCTCTATTGTACCGGTGGTTTATCTCTCATATGCCTCAGTCTGATGCTTTTTGGGATGTCAAGAAGGAACCCCGTTGGGCTCCTAAGATCATGGCACTTACTCACTTGGATATTGACTGGTATCATCGAGCTTACCAGGATATTCAGATTATTTACAGTTGTGGTAGTTTCCCCAATGTACCTCTTCTTGGTACAAAGGGAGGAATTAACTATAACCCTGTTCTTGCACGGCGACAGCTTAGTTATCCGATGAGGGATAAACCGAATAGTATTCATTTGAGTAGTTACTTTCTTAAGGAAGGAGAAGACCATAGGGAAGCTAGGGAGCAGATTGCGAAGGCCTGTCGTCACATTCATAAGAAGAGTAGGAAGGATTTGGGACCTAGGGGTGTTGTTTCTTTGGAGCCATATCTTCAGTGGGTCCGATCGAGATCTATTCAGTTAAAGATGCCGTATACCCGGGAGAAACCCATGCCTGATCTATTTATGAAGACCACTCCTCCCTTATTAGATGATCTAGAAGAGCTGCAACTTGCTTTGGTTAGGATGCAATAGGAAAAAGATGCTTTGAAGAACAAGTTCCAAACTTTAGAGAGTTCCTATAAAGCAGGCTTGAAGGAGAAAAATGACTTGATTAAGATCCTTAAGAGTCGAGCGGTAGAGTCTATGGATAGGCTAGGGGATTTATTTTCTCCTAAGTCTCAATCAAGTGCTGATTACTCACTTCATGATTCAGATGATTGGAAGGAGGTTGCCATCAGACATGCGGAAGAAAACTAGAGGTTGAAGGCTCAGATTGCCAGGCTCACGGGGAATCTCCAGCGTATAGAGTGATCTCCATCAGTTCTATTTCTCAGGGTTTTAGATTTTATTTTCATCTTATACTTGGGATCATTGAAACTTGTAATCCATTTTGAAGATATTATAATAAAAGTTTCAGTATTTGAAACGTGTTATTACTCTGATATTTGCAATGTGTCTATAAAATTTATAAATCCCTTGAAATATAAAATAAAAAAGTAAAAATAATCATATGCATTACATATCATGTATCATATTGCACATTTTTCTTGCATTTGTTATGCATATCCAGGTGTCTTATCAAGCTTCTTTACTTCGTTCAGCAAGCTGACTCATCACTACAACACTCGGGCTAATTTCATAAAGAAGATGGATAACTTAGAACAAGAGAATCGCGAGCTGCGCGAGGAAGTTTCCGCTTTGAATGCCGGCATGGCCAATCTGACTACTCTGATGGAAGCTCGGGTGGCTGCTCAAAATCAGCCACCGAGTGTTCAACCTCAACCAACAAGGGCAACTACTGAAGCTCCGACTGTTCCCGTATCTGCTACTCTAGCTGTTATTCAGAATCGCATGGCCCAAGGTTATCCATGGGGAATGCCAGAGAATTTTGCACCTGAAGGTTTCAATCTTGGTCCTCAAGATACTCCAGTTATTTAAACTATTGTTACTCCTGCACCTCCTATGGTGCATGTTGCTGCTGCACCTCCTTCGGTGAATATGGTTCCGTTTGTTAATGATGATGTGTGTCGTCCTTTCCCTCCACTGAGTGAAGACTTGGGTCTTTATGACAGAATGAATGATTTTCAAGAGCAGTTTGACAAGATGCAAAGGGAGATGAAGGCCCTCAAGGGAAAAGAGCTATTTGGGCAGAATGTGAATGCACTACAAGAAAATTAGTGTTTAACGACACAAAAATTGCGACAGTTATGTGATAACTGTCGTAATTGACATATAGAGACAATGTTTACGACAGTTGACACCAACCGTCCCTAATATTTATTTTGCGATGGTATAATTAACCATCATAATATTATTATTACGACGGTAAAACAACCGTCGGCCCCCATTTAACACTTTGAACATTGATTTTTCACCAACAACTAGTCACGACGGTAAAATTAACCGTCCTAAAAGGCATATCACGACAGTAAAGCACCCGTCGCACCCTTAAACCTTTCACGACGGTAAAATTATCCGTCCTAAAATTCATTTCACGACGGTAAAACAACCGTCGCACCCAAAACCTTTAAAAATTCTCATGGGCACGACGGTAAAACACCCGTCGCCGTAAAAAAGTTAAAAAGCTCTTAAAATACATAAAATTTTTTAATAGTTAAAATTCTATCATTTTTTTCTTCTAAAATTTGGCCTTTTCCTATCAATATATTATACACAGCCTAGATGCAAAAATATATACTATATGTTTATTGACAAGTTGCAATGTATAATGATTATTTTGAATAGTTAAATAGCAATACTGAAACCTGACTGGGATTTGATGCATATGAATAATATATGTCAAAAAGTTATACTACTTAATTTATGCAATAATGAGAAAAAATAACAGTCCTGTGCTTCTCTGTTAGATTTAGATTATAGAAATTTTATTCTTTCTTTTAGCTGATTCTAAACTGCTTTATTACTTCTTAAATATCTTAATCCTAAACTTGTCCTCTACACAGTGGCGGAGCCAGTGTCCGGCCAGGTAGGGCAGCTGCCCAGGCTCCGACCATCCATACTTCACCATCCGGCACCACCACCACTTCAAGATTCGACAACCAATCACCCCAAAACCAACTCCCAAAAGCGGAAGAAAGAGGTCAATTCCAAGTTACAGCACCTACGAACACCAGAAGAGAAGCTAGCTTAAATCGAAACCCTAGAAAAGGAGCTCGGGGGTTTGTTTGAGTACTACAAAGGGGTTTTGGGTAAGAAGGTTATTGTTGACCTTAAGAAATGCGGTGGGTCGAGAAACACGGTTCACAACATTGAGCCAATTGCATTGGTAGGTAAATTTTTTAAAAAATAATTTTCAATTCCATTATTAATTTATTTTACCTTTTTATCCCTCTAGATAGATCAGGTGTTCATGAAATTCATCTATAATTGGCTTTGTTTTTTTTGTTTGAGAGGTTTTTAGGTTAGGCTTGCTGTGATTATTATGAACACACAAATTGTTTGGGAAATTAACCAAGTGATTGACAATTTCTTTGTTTGCTGTGAAATTGAATTCAAGGAGATGCTTTTACACAATTTAGTCATTATTGTTGTTGTTGTTCAGTTATTGTTTTGATCCTTTTTTAGGATTTTAATTGAAATCTAATGTAAATTATGTAAATTGTTAGAAAAAAAAGCCATTTATAGAAACTCACATTCTTCTTTCTTATGAAAATGTGGTTCAAATAAGCTGAATACTTTGTGTGGTAAGGATGAAATATGTAATTACTGAAACAAACTCTTGCTTGTTTATTAACTTAGGATGAATTGTAGCATTAAAGCTCTTAGAGTAGTTATTGATAGGAAATTTTGTTTCATTACAGCTGAGGCTGTGGCAGGATCAGCAGCATGGCTTGGTAGAAGTCTGTCTTGTGTATGTGTACAGAGAAGAGATAATGATGCTTCTAGATTTTTTGATTTAACTCTAGCCCAGGTACTATTTATATAATTACAGAAGCTTCTTTTGATTTCTGTTAACTTTTATGCCTTATTCATCTTCCAGCAAAAACTAAAAGAAATCAATATTTTTAGAGAATGTGGTATGGAGTGAGAATGCTTCAATTTTTTTTAAAACAATACGTCTTTTAAACTGGTTATAAGGAACATTTTGCGATCTTTAAATAACAAAAGTAACTTTCTTGAATTGATAATCTTTGAATTGATCTTACCAAATAACGAAAGTAACTTGCTATTGTATTTCTAGTTATGTGCTCCTTTTCCTGTTTGTCCTCCTCATCGTGTATGTTGTTTGGATGATGCAAGAAAATATTGTTATTGGATAGAATTTTGACTACCAGTTGCTAATCAGCTGTATGTTTACGTTGCCGATATACTTGTACTCCCTGTATACCATATGAAATTTGGGAGCATTTTCTACTTACATTTTCTGTTATATATTTATGTTTCTAATTTAGTCACAACAAATTACCATAATGTTGAAATTTCAATCCTTAGGAGGAATGCTTGCAGAGGCTACAGAGACGAATACATGTTCCATATGATAGTTCTATAATTGAGCACCAGGTATCATTTCTATCACTATTATTTTTCAGTCTATGTGTAAGCAATGTAGCAACAGTTATTGATGTAAATATATTTTTTAATCCTAAATAGTCGTATTTTTATTATTCTTTCCTTGTGATTTTAATTTACATATGTATTATACATTATAGGAGGCCCTTAGGGCTTTATGGAATGCTGCATTTCCTGAAGAAGAACTTTGTGGCTTGATATCTGAGCAGTGGAAGGAAATGGGCTGACAAGGGAAGGATCCATCAACAGATTTTAGGTAGATATTGTCCTTATTTTTTTCATTACCAGGTCTTGTGTTATTGTTAATTAGTTGTTGCTAATGATTTTTTATTTGTATGTGTTTGTTAGGGGTGGTGGTTTTATTTCTTTGGAGAATTTTCTCTTCTTTGCTAGGAATTTCCCGGTATGAATTAAATTTTTGGTTTGTTCACTCTAATTTGAATCTGTTACTCATAAATCACAGAGGTTGTTACCACCCATGTATCTGTATCATAAAACTTATACTTTCTATTTTTGTAGAAATCGTTCCAGGATCTTTTATGGAAGCGGGAAGGAGATCGGTCCGTGTGGGAATATCCGTTTGCTGTTGCTGGTGTTAACATCACATTCATGCTGGTGCAGATGCTTGATCTTGAAGCAGGTCTGTTACTTTTCATGTCATTATAATTTCTTGTTTCTGATCATTCTTATGTTAGTTTTTCTGATGACCAGATAGGTTAAATCATGAAAATGTTTTAAAATTTAGGGTGACTTTTCAATGTTATATATGGTGACATTTTACATAGAATAGATTAGTACCAAAAGGGTCACCAAAATTAGGGTGAACATTATGGCTGTTTAGTTGATTTACTTAGTAGAGCAAGGCTTTTTGAAGAAGCAATGGTTATAATAAGAAAAATTACCAAATCTTTGAATGGCTCTGAAGTGACATTGGCTTGGAGAGCATTCCTGAGTGCATGTTGTAACCATGGAGAAACTCAACTAGCTGAACTTGCTGCTGAAATTGCGGTTAAAATTTTTGCCCAAGCTCCCTAAAATTCCTGGCTCCGCCACTTACATACATATACATTTTTCTGTATTTGACAACCTAGCTAGATACCTAAAAGAACATTCAATTCCTGGATTCACCTAATCAAAAGTGGTAGCAAAATAGTATTGTAACAAATAGCATTCAAATTATTGTCTAACAGCAAAAATAGTTGATAAGATAGTAAACATTATCCCAGTTATTGAACAGTTCCAAAATGACTCACATCAACTTACAAGATTTTGGCGGCACTAGTTTTTATTTTAGTCTACTAACGAAAGCAATGAACAAAAACATTTCAGTTTCCAGTTTCTAGAATAAAATGTATCTTTCATCTACATTTTTAAGTTATGATAGATGAAGCAGCGGCAAAATTCTTACAGCAAGTATAAGATGTTCTGTAGACCCCCGAAGCCCGTGGGGATTTGTCCACTTAATTTGTTGTTGCTGAGGTCTCTGAAAAATGATATTCAGAATAAGTTCTCTTCAGAGAAAGAGTAAATATAGAATTTAACATAAAGAATAGTTCCCTATTCTGTGGTGAACAAAAGAATCATGTGTCATAGGCCTTTATTAAATCAACAGTATAAAAAGCAAAGATACAGAATATAAGTTCTTATATGAGTGGTTTTTTTTCATCTTAAACGTGTTTAAAAAGCCTGAAAGAAAATTTGAAAGTTATCATTCGATCAAAACTAATATAAATTGGTGAAATCAAAAAAGTGTGTGTAATATATGCCTACTGCTGGTTTTGAAAGAGAAGAGTGTGTGTAATATATGCCTACTGTGTGTAATATATATTTTATGCCTACTGTGTGTAATATATATTATAATCCTACTGTGTGTAATATATGCCTACTGTGTGTAATCTACTGGTGCTTTGAAAATATCTTTACTTAATTAATATATAAATTGAAATCATTCAGAGCTTGGATAACCTGCTAGATCGATCGGCGATGGCTTTGGACAAAAGGCCAGATGTTCGTGATGCATCTGGGAAGGTGAGTATGGAGGCCATGCTTATTTGTAATTAAGCTGCACTTGGATTACATATACTTATTCTTATTTTACTTTATAATTTTAAACACGTGTGATGGTTTTTGTATACTTACTCTTAGTTTTTGTATTCTCTTGATTGTGATGGCTTTTGTGCAGAAATTATATCTCTGATAGTTATGTGTTGATTGCTGTTTAAGCCAAAATTGTTATAGTAGGCTTCTTACCTCATATTCAATCAAATGTACTTTTATAGATTGCAGATATGAAAAGAAAATCTGAAGCACCCGCATCTGAAAAACAGTCCAAGGATTTAAATTGTGTCAGAGGGTATATTTTTCTCTTTTTCCTCCTTCGGTTTTATGTTTTTGTCAGTATCCACTACTTCTGTCACTGTCCTATTCTCTTTAAAAGATTACTGAAGTTCTTGTTTATCTTTTGCTTTAATCATTATTATGTTCTTGCATACTCAACTAATTTCAGAGCATACTTTAGGTAATGTGTTTGCTTTTTTTTCCATACAGTAATGGAAACATAGATTCTATTAAAGAAGTGGATCATTTGCTATGTCTAAATCTATATGTTGTTGATCGTTTTCTTAATAGTACAAACAATTTATATTAGTTTTTATTTGCAGGAAATGAGAGATGGACGAACATACAGCAGAGGAGAAATGTATGCAGTTTCTCATAAAAAGCCTAACGGGTCATTTATCAATGAAGATGCATACAACAATAATGTAAGTACAAGTTAATTCTTTTGAAATACTGGAAAAAAAAATGGTAATAGTAATAGAACCATCCCAAATATAACTCACCACTGGAAAAATCCTATTAGATAATAAGAAAGGAACTTAAAGAAATTAATGCACTTAAAGAAAAGAATTCAAAAATTGATGAATTAACACAGGCAATCATATTCTTAACGCAAAGGGACAAGGCGAGGACAAAGGAAATTGAACTCTTAATGCAAATGCAGAATTTTAGTGGAAGACATGTATATTATTTTGACGCATTTAAAGTTAAATTTTATGAGTATTATTTTAAAGATTATTATTTTAATACCTTTTTTTAGGGATTGGAATCACCCGCTGATGGTAGACGTTCATCTGAGTCTAGCTACCGTATTGGAGATAATGGAACTTCAGGGGGGACAAATTAGACTTTGCTATGATCGAGATAATTAGATTGTGAACTTTCTCATGTATTTTTGGCATAAGGATACTTATTATTATAAGATTAGGAATTGATATATTTTGGGTTTTTTTGTACTACTTGACATGATTATGGAACTCGCATTTTACATGATTATGAAACACACATTTTTTTGGATATTATAATGCTTATTTGATGTTAAATATTTTTTATTGAAATTATTTTTACTATATTACAAAGTGATAGAAAATAAAACAAAAAATAATACTATAAATAAATATATTAAAGAAGAAATAATTTAAAGAAAAAAATAACACAAAAAAAAACTATATTTAAAATTTTTTACATAGATAACAATTTAAATAAAAAATATATATAATAGAAAAATAAAAAAAAATCAAGACATAAACAAAAGTCATGGCGACAGTACCGAACCGTCGTAATCAACAATTAAAAATAATCAACAAAAGTCATGACGGTATCGAACCGTCGCCATAAACAATTTAATCAATTTCAAAAGATATTCACGACAGTATCGAACCGTCGCCATCAATAATTAAAAGAAACTCAAAAGATAGTCACGACGGTATCAAACAGTCACCAATACTTGATTATGTCAGCTCCAAACCCGTCGTAAACTTGAACGACAGTTTTTGTAACCATCGCGAAATAGGTTGGGGACACACACTTCTTTGACGGTAAAGCAACCGTCGTGGAAAGCAAATTGCGATGGTTTTAACCGTCGTAATCTACAAAAATACCTGTCGTAATCTGCCAATTTTCTTGTAGTGATGAGTTATGCTTGGTCCCGAATGTTAAGATACCTACTAAGTTTAAAGTCCCAGAGTTTGAGAAGTATAAGGGCAACACTTGCCCTCGTGCTCATCTGGTGATGTACTTAAGGAGAATGTCTACCCATACTGATGTTCAGCGTCTGCTAATTCACTTTTTTCAGGATAGTTTGACCGGTGCTGCACTGAAGTGGTATATGAGTTTGGACACCGCCAATATCCATACTTTTAATGATTTGGGAGAAACATTCATCAAACAATACAAGTACAACGTAGACATGGCGCCTAAACGTGATCAACTCAGGGCCATGGTTCAGAAAGACAGGGAATCGTTCAAAGAATATGCATAGAGATGGCGTGAGGTAGCCGCCCAGGTGATTCCTCCCATGGAAGAAAAGGAGATGACTATGATTTTCTTGAAGACGCTGGGTGTTTTCTACTACGAGAGGATTGTAGCAAGTGCGCCAAGTGACTTTACTGAAATGGTAGGAATGGGTATCCGCTTAGAAGAGGCTGTAAGAGAAGGTCGTTTAACAAAGAGTGAAGGATCTGGAGGTGCGAAGAAGCCATCTTTTGGATTTACCAAGAAGAAAGAAGGAGATGCAAATGTTGTTATACAAGAGAGGAGGGTAAACACTTCTAGAAGGAATTATCAGCGTCATCTGCAAGTCATCTCAGTTACTCCCGTTATGAATGTCGCTCCAACTACCGTTGCTTATCAGAGACCGTCCCAGCAGGGGAATCAAGGGTATAATCAAAGAAGGGAGAGTTATGACCCTATTCCCATGAGCTATATAGAGTTAGTACTGGCATTGATTCAGAAGAAGTTGGTTCAAACTCGACCACCTCCCGTCGTACCATCACCATTGCCTTGGTATTACAAGGAAGACCAAACATGTGCTTTTCATCAGGGAGCACCGAGGCATAATGTTGAGAATTGTTATCCTTTAAAGACTGAGGTACAGAAATTGGTGAACTCTGGTGTTCTATCTTTCAAGGACGTGGGACCTAATATGAAAGATAATCCTCTACCCAAGCATGGGGGAGTAAATGCTGTGAATATGGTAGCCGGTTGTCCAGGCGACTTCCGGATTTTTGATATTAATCTGGTTAGAGGAGATTTGGTGAAAATGCATACAGACCTCTGTGAATTTAGCTACTATATGCATTACCATGCCGATTGTGCTATTTGCAGTACAAATATACAAGGTTGCGATAAGATAAAGGATGATTTATAGGAGATGATGGATGAGGTCCTAATCCATATAATCAGGCCTAGGGCAGAGTATGAAGAGGAGGTGAATAAGGTTTCAGGATGTCCTGGAGAGTTCAGAATTTTTGATGTAGAGTATATGAATGAGGACCTCGTGCAGTTGCATGCTACCTTCTGCCATACGGCTGGTCAGGTGGAACACCAATATGGATCTTGCCGAGTTTGCTGTCGAGACCCCCGAGGATGTTCAATCGTGAAGAAGGGTGTTCAATTACTGTTAGAAAATGGAACTATCAAGGTCACAAGTCAGAGGAATAATTACCATGAAGTTGATATGGTTGAGGTTTGTTTGACTGAAGAAGAGTCAGATGAAGAGTATGCCTCCACAGATGAGTATTTCTCTTCAGACGAAGATTTGTTTTCCAGAAATGACTTATTAATGAATGATTATGTTGAAGAAGGGGTAAATGTCATTGTGCCTTGTTTTGGTGCACCCTACCATTTTGAAGTTGAGTATCATAGCAAGCCAGTTGTTACCCCATTGGTGATTAGTTTGTCGGGTCCTATCCCTTACAAGTCAGATAAGGTTGTGCCTTACAAATACAATGCTACAATCTTAGAGGATGGAGTGGAAGTTCCCATCCATCCAATGCCTGATGTTGGAAATATAGCTGAAAATAGTAGGGTGACCCGCAACGGTCGTGTGTTTGCACCAGTTGTTCGAAGAGATGTTGGTGCTGGAAAGAAAATTGCTGATAATGATGAACCTAAGAAGGTTGAGGGTGAGACTAGTGGAGCCAAGTTAGATAAAGAAGTGGATGATATTTTGAAGATAATTAAGATGAGCAACTACAAAATTGTAGATCAGCTACTGCAGACTCCTTCAAAAATATCTATCTTAGCTTTATTGATGAACTCCTCTGCTCACAGAGAATCCTTGATGAGGGTAATGGACCAAGCTTTTGTGGAGAGTGATATGCTAATAGACCAATTCAGCAGCGTAATAGGAAACATTAATTCATGTAATAACTTAAGTTTTTGCGATGATGAATTACTAGATGAAGGAAGGTATCACAACGTGGCCCTCCACATCTCTATGAACTGCAAGAATGATTCACTATGCAATGTGCTGATTGATAATGGATCCACGTTGAATGTTATACCGAGGAGTACGCTTATGAAGTTGAAATATCAAGGAACACCTATGCGCCCGAGTGGCATCATTGTGAAAGCGTTTGATGGGTCAAGGAAATCTGTTATTGGTGAAGTGGACTTGCCTATTCATATAGGATCACATTTGTTTCAGATAAATTTCTAGGTCATGGACATTGTTCTCGATTATAGTATTTTGCTAGGACGACCGTGGATACATGAGGCAGGGGCTGTCACTTCAACTTTACACTAGAAGCTGAAGTTTGTACGTGAAGGGAAAGTAGTGATCATAAATGGGGAGCAGGCATTGTTGATATCTCATTTGTCCTCTTTTAGCATTGTAGAGGAGGATAAAGTTGCAGTTGGAACCCAGTTCCAAGCCTTATCTATTGACAACATAAGAGGAAATGAGAATTCCATGGTTTCGCTGAAGGACGCGCAGCAGGTTGTGCGTAATGGTCATAATGAAGTTTAGGGACGAATTGTGGATCCACCTGTAAACAAGAACAAAATTGGATTGGGGTTCTCTTCGAAGAATGACAAAGTTAAGGGCATGAAGCTGAAGTTTGTTGCAGGCAGGTATCAAGACATTTTCGGTAGCAGGGGTTATCTTCATCCAACTATTTCCAGGATTAACGCCATTGTGGAAGACGAAGTAGAGCAGGAAAGTCTGAATTATGTGACGCACGGAGTTAGGGTTCAGAACTGGATCACCATTGATGTTCCCTCTTGCATACATGTTTTAAAGTAATTTGATTTGTTAATCTTTTTGAAAAAGATTTCACTCTGCCCAAGGTGGAAGTATTAATGTTGTAGGGCTTACCTGTTTGTTGTGACTTTTAAAATCAATAATAAAAGTTGTCTTTGTTTCCCAAATTATGTCTTTATTTTCTGTTTTTTCTTGGAAAATTGTAATTAGAAAAAATCTTTCAAAATAAATAATAACTGAAATTCAATCTGCATGATCACTTGTTATATGTGTCAGTTTCTAAAAGCAATCACAAACCATATGTGCAGATTAATTAAAAAACTCGTTGAATACAATGACCTTGCACCCTCTCCCAACTTTGAATGTCTTGTGTATGGGGCTGATGAAGAAGATTATGATGAGATTCCAGAAGAGGTCTCACGGTTGCTTGAGCACGAGGAAAATACCATTCAGCCATATAAAGAGCCATTGGAAGTGATCAATTTGGGTTCAGAAGAAGATCCGAAGGAAGTTAAGATTGGAGCATTGTTTCATCCTGATGTGAAGAGATGGTTGATTGAGCTGTTGAAAGAGTATGTGGATATTTTTGCTTGGTCTTATCAAGA